CCCCTTGTTCCTTTTTAACAGGGGATAATATTTCAGTCCTCGTCATGAGAAAAGGAAGCAGGAGAAAAGGAGAAAGAGTATGAGGGAATGTTGCTATGGATCCCTTTCAGAGGTGTCCAAAAATCTCCATAATGTGCTTAGAACTAATGACTTGATATGATTAGCTTCATAAATGCTACAAACACAAAGATAAATTATCCTGCAGGACAGAGTATTATTCTACACTCCTTCTGTAGCCAATGCCTGACACCGTCCAAACTCACTTGAGCACAAAGGGGAATTTGTTCACTCACATTAAGTGAGAAATTTAAGATTGGTGCTGATCAAATTCTGACACGGTCCAAATTCTGTGTGTCTCTTAGCTTTGGTTCCTTCATGGGGGTGGGGGGGAATTATCTTGTCTCAATATCCATAGTCTTCCTCTGGGTGTCAGGGGATGGCGAGATATGGCCTCAGAAAGACCTAGGATTTCATCACCTAAGCCTCAGGAGTCTATTTTTTCTTTTTTTTTTTAGGTTTTCTAAAAAATTTTTTTAAAAAATGTTTATTTATTATTGAGAGACAAAGCTTGAGAGAAGCAGAGAGAGGGGGAGATACAGAATCCGAAGCAGGCTCCAGGCTCTGCGCTGTCAGCACCGAGCCCTGACACAGGGTTCGAACTCACAAACCGCAAGATCATGACGTGAGCCGAAGTTGGATACTTAACCGACTGAGCCACCCAGGGGCCCCCTCTAGAGTCTAGAAGAGACAAACTGTCTTTCCCCCAAGTCTACATATGAAAGTCATGGGATTGTCTCACTTGGGCTATGCCATCCCTGTGCTAACCCCTGGGGCCAGGAGAACAGAGCACAAGGAGGGGCCAGTCCTGGATGACCAGGGAAGGGAGGAGGGTCTGCTCCTTTAGGGAAGAAGGTGTTGTTTCCAGGAAAAGATGGAAGGGATGCTGGGCAAAAGAAGACACCAGATGCCCATGGCAGACAGCGAGGGAATATATTATCCTCTCAACAAATGCGCGTTGAATTAGACAATTCCGTTTTCTCACTTGGTACCAAATAAATTTTAATAGTGACAACTATGTCAGCTGAAGAACAGATACGCATTTCCACAAGCATTAACGTGAGAAGACAAGGGTCAGTAGAGGCTGTTCCTTGAGTTCATTTGGTTTGGTGGGGACAGAGGGACATAGAGTTGAAAAAGAATCAACACTGGTATAACGGCTCTTTTTTTTTTTTTTTTTTTAACCCCAGACCCTTGCTGTTGCAATAATTTAGATATTTTCCTTCAAATTTGATAAATAGAATTTAAGACATTACACCAGTGGCCTCATAGGCAATTTTGTTAATTAGTTCACATCGCTATCCAAATGGTAGACCCCTATTACGGTTACTACTGCATAAAATGCACTATAAAATGAAAAGAGTTCCAGAATTCCCATATTCTCATCTTATTACCTGTTTAACACACACACACACACACAAATGGTTGCGTGGACATGCGCACAACAAGAGAGCAAAAGAAACTCTAGAGCCACAAATATATCTATCTGTTTTTATTTGTTCTGGAAGATCAGACACAAGCAAAGTAATCAAACTGCCCTGGCCTGGCATTGACATGTAAACGAATCCTTGCTAGAACAGCCTGCTGTGTGCTGATCTACCTGTCAATACCTGACTATTCTGCATTTTATGTGCCCAGAGAAATCAGCGCCTGGACGCAGTTCTTATCAGCCCTGAACACATGTAAAAAATGTGCTCCCTGAAACAGGTCTGCCCAAATCCAACTTAGTAATATAGGCTAATGTACTTCACAAGTTTATTCACATGCAAACCATATTTTGGAGCTATTCATCTTCTTTTAAAGGAAATCACTGCCTTCAAGACATCTCTGTGGTCGGGAGCCCCTGATTTCTACGTGAAGAGGTCCAGTCATGTACCAGGAGCAGGACTGTCCAAGCCCACGTGCTCATCTAGAGAATGATGCTCTGAGCCATCGTCTCACTACCAGACATTCAAGTGCCCCCCGCTTGTGTCCTTCTTGGAGGACTGATCCTTGAAGTTCTATTTTAAGATTCATGTATTAGACCAGGGACGAAGGCAAATTCTGCTCCCTGAAAGACACAGGAGGGTCGGCCAAAGACGGTTTGGACCAAAAATTGCCCAGGGCTGTGAGGCAGACAACACAGCCCTAAACCCTCATCAAAGGTCTTCAGGCACATGACCTTGGTCCCATGGAGGATGCCTTTCCTATCTTGTTATAGTATCGTGATAATCTAAAGGCAGCATCTCACTGACCCATGTGCCCTCAAAGGTCCTGGGATGAAGTTCCCACTTTTCACTGGAGTTAGTTTTCAAAACATCTGTTAAATCTGGGCAGCCTACCAGAGAACCGATCCTAACGAAACCATGTTGAAAACCTCTTTTGAGATAAATATTTACATATTGCGAGATGAAGAGATTTTAAATGTGTTTTAAATGTTCATATCTCATATAATGCCAACTGATTCTTGGTTTCATTTGGGGAAATCCAACATGGCACCCAGGTACTGACCCAGGTAGTGACAGCGATGAAAGCAGAAAGGTAAATTCCTGAGGCCCCTGATATGCGTCCAGGGCTCCTGTCTTTCTTCTCTCACTGTTTCTCATTGAACTTTTGACTGTATTGTTATAAAAGTTAAGCAAAGTGAAACACAACAAAATGAGATGTGCTATTGATTGAAACCGTTGGAGGAATTATAACATTTATAAGTAGGTCTGGGGTGGGCCCAGAATTGGCACTTCCCACAGCTTGTTAGTGGCACTGCTGGGCCCAGGGCCGCACTGGGTGGCCGTATTAGATGTGCGCAATTCTAATCCTAATGCTAATTGTAAATCATTAAGAGTTTCTTGGTGGCCTTCCATTTTTTCCCCTTTTTTGAATTAAAACAACCTAGTAAGGTTTCTAAAGTTAGGAACTCTGAACTGATCAAAAGAACACTCCACTGTTAACGAATATTGTTTCTTTTTTTAACATTTATTTTGAGAGAGAAAGAGACAACGAGGGGGAGAGGAACTGAGAGAGAGGGAAAGAGAGAACCCCAAGCAGTTTCCACGTTGTCAGCACAGAGCCCGATGCAAGGCTCTAACTCACTAATGGTGAGATCAGGACCTGAGCCAAAATCAAGAGTCGGATGCTTAACCAACTGAGGCTTAACCCAGGAGCCCCTGGATATTGTTTCTAAACGGCAGGGCAAGCAGTGTGGACTATGTACACGAGTGAAAGTATGGCTCCCCCATCTCCGAATCAACTCGGGCTAAAGAAAGGCCACAAGACCCTCTGGGAATATTTCACGTGCTTGCTCCCCAGTGCTGCTGCTCTCGGAGCAACTGTGGGTTAGAGGGCTTCCCCAAAGCCTCCCATGTGACCGAGGTGCACAGAAACACACCTCTCTCTCGTCTTAGAAAGATCACGCCCAGGAGCCACCCTCAGGTGGCTTTCCCACCGTCTGCGGGAGTCACCTGCGTGCAGAGCTCCTCCGTGGCCAGCAGGGGGCGCTTGCTTCTCACACCCGCGTGCAGACCAGGTGTCTGTCCCTGGGGGACGGTCACTGCCCCCGGGAGCTGCACTGACGGGTTTGTTATAGAGTCAGAAATAAGATCACAACACGCCAACACCTACGTGTTGTTGCACACACGTTTAGAAGTGCGCAGGGGGCGCCTGGGTGGCTTAGTCGGTTAAGCGTCCGGCTTTCGCTCGGGTCATGATCTCGCGGTTCGTGGGTTCGAGCCCCGCGTCGGGCTCTGTGCTGACTGCCAGCTCAGAGCCTGGAGCCTGTTTCTGTCTGTGACTCCCTCTCTCTCTGACCCTCCCCTGCTCACGCTCTCTCTCTCTCTCCTAGAAATAAATAAAACATTAAAAAAAAAAAAAAAGAAGTGCGTTTTCAGACGTGACTTACAGATCCTCTCTCCCTTCTCTGCAACTAGGGATGAAACAGTAAAGAGCCCCAGGGTGCCCCAGATGGCTGGGCTGGGAAGGCGCCCGACTCCCCCCGAAATACCTCATTTAGGGTGTCTGTGCCGTCTGCCTCCCCGCCGGTGAGGAGGGCGCTCGGCCCAGGATCTGGCCCGGGACGGCGGTGGGCCGACTGGCCCGTGTCACCGGGTGGGTGGACAGCCAGGCCCCAGAGACCTCCCCGTCCCACGACATCTCTGCCTCTTGGCACTGGTATGTCTCCGGAGTCCGGATAATTTTCTTACAGATGAGAACAGAGCCAAACCTGAGGCCGGAAGCCCAGGGCGGGAAGCGGGCGAGCCGGGTGCCGCCGCGGTGCCGCCTGGGCTGCGCGAAGGGAGGTGCGAAGCGCCCCGGGCCCGCCTTGTCTGCTTCCGAAACTCCGTGCGGGCCTGTGAATCTCCGCCCTGTCCACACCGGGGGGCGGAACACTCTCTGATGTGTGCGTGTGCGTGTGCGTACATGGGCAGGGTGTATGTACGTGTGACGTATGGTGTGTGTTCGTGGTATGTGTGGTGTGTGTGCGTACGCGTCACGTGGACGCACGTGTGCTGTGTACGTGTCACGTGGACGCACGTCTGTTGTGTGTGCACGTGTGACGCGGACGCACGTGTGCGGTGTGTCTGCGGGTGACGGCAGGACGCCCCGAGACGCTCTCCGGGTTGAGCCGCAGGCACAGGCTGTGGTTCGGTCCCGGGTGCAGGGAGAGGGGCCTGAAGCCACGTCTACAAGGGGTTTCAGACTCCGCCCTGGGGGTGAGGGGGGCGCAGGCCCGGGTTAGGGGGGCGGAGGGAGGGCCCAGGAAGGGGGCTGTCGCACAGGTGGGGGACGGCGGGGCCCCCTCATCCGGGACCCCGGGACAACGCATCACACCCCGTGTGCCGTGGTGACGGACGGACCGCAGCGCGCAGCGCACACGGCCCGGGCCCCGCCTGCGGCGCGCTCCTGCGACCCGGAAGTTCCCCCCCCCCGCCGCGCGTCGGCGGTGCGGCGACTTCCTGTTTCCGGGGGAAGCGGCTCCTTTCTGCAGAGACTTCCGTCCGCTTTGTACAGTATCGCCGGGGCCTCTGGGTAAGTACCTGTGCGGACTCCGCTGCCTCGCGTACTGGGATTACCTAGCGTAGTGGTTCCTTCAGTCCGGCTGTCGGCCCCCAGAGTCCTGAGTTCGGGCCCCAGCACCTCCCAGCACCCCCCCCAGGGAAGGGAAGAGTTCAGCCCCCAAGAGACGGAAGGGAATGGACTGTGCTAACCGCTTGCCAAACCTCAATTTTCCTTCCGTTTAAAAAGAGATAATATGGTAATCATCACACTAATAATGAAAATATCTTCCTCCAAGTTTGCGGGCAGGGACAGGCGGGGCCCTGCACTCACAACGCTGTAGCACAGCCCGGGCATTGTGCGTGCGGGTGTTGGCCACCGTCGGTATCACCACTGCCGCCCCATCACCTCCACCCTTGCTATTACATAAGTGTGAAACCCCGGGTTAGATTCCCAACTCTGATCTACCAGCCGTTTAATCGGTCAGTTACCACTTCTTGCCCTATTTTCCCGCAAGCAAATGGTAATCGTGATGAAACTTTCCTCGAAGCTCAGGGAAAGTCCGGCTGTTCGAGTCCAAGCCCTTGCTGCTTCATGTCCCATAAAGCCCCATATTGGTGACTCGCGACTTAAAAGCCACAGAGTAACTTGGAAGGCACGTGCCGGGGCCATCGCTGCAGGTTGGATCACTGGGTCCTGGAGTCCCAGATCTTCACGTAGAAAACAATTAGGGATCAAGGCGAATTTTATCTGCTCTCATCTCTTTCCAGGGCATTGCGGACCGCGCCCAGAACATTTCTTACCAGCGTCCCTGCTCCCACTCTGCAGATGCGCCATTTACCTAGACGAGTCTTCCTGGCGCAGGAAATGCGGGCCCGGCAGACATGACTCAGAGTTCTAATTAAAAAGGAAATTTGCATTAGGCCAGCTAACTGCCTGTTTCAATTAGGAACAGGAGCCCTCTCCACCTTCCTTCCTAAGGAGGGACGGACTCAGGGGTGTGGGTTTGGACTTCTGCAGGGGGGGAAGGGTCCTGGGGGGAGGGGCAGATATGGCAACGTATAAAGGTTTGAGACCTGCCCAAGATGGATGGATGCCTCCCTTCCACCGGGCTCTCTGTGTCTCTTTAACTCTTCTTCGTCTGTTCTCTCCCAGACCCTGGCAGCCCTCACAGCTGTGACCTCTCTAAACTGTCAGCCTCAGATTAACTGATACTTCATCAATTTCGCCTGAACTGCATTTGCAACCCAGTCTCAGGAGGCCAGCCCAGCGCATCAAACACCACGCATTAGCCTCCCGGAGCCAGATTTCTTCAAAATCATGGGGCATTTTCCAATATTCTTGCAGGGGCCTGAGCAACAAGCCCGGGGGTGGGGGTGGGGCAGACGGGGGTGGGTATTTGCCCGCAGGGGGAAGAGCAAGCGCCTCTGATTATTCCTTGTAAATTTTTCATGAGGACATCTGCCCACGCTCCACTCCCCGAGAGCTGCCCTCGCTCTCTGCGCCCAGGCCTCCTGACGAGGCATGAGAAACGAGAATGATTAGGCTCAGTCCCCATTAGCCCGGAAGTGGCTGCGGGAAGCTGTGGGGTTTCAGGCTGGGAGAGGGGCTGGGTCTGCTGGGGAAGGTCTTTGAAACAAAAGACCAGCCGGAGGTGGATGGCGCTTAGGTGAGTCTACAGATGGAGGCCACCCAGGGGGAGGCGGCCCAGGCAGCACAGATGGCCTGGAGTGGGCTGCCGGGCCTGCAGACGCCCCCTGATCCGGGCCTGGGGAAACCGGGTGCCTGGCCCCGCACCCCCCACCCCAGCCTGGCCCCTTTCATTACAGGGACGGCCTCCAGCCCCGCGGGGGGCGCGCAGCCAAGTCAAAGCCAGGAGGTTTCAAGTGCAGAGATGGGGGGAGGGAAGCGCTTCCTTTTCTGAATCATAAAATCGAACCATTCCTTTGGAAATACTAGCAGCTTACACGCCTGAAAATCTTATCTCTTTCCATCCAGCTCGAATCAAGAGCCCGCAGCTCTTTCTCATTAATGCATCAAATCATGCCGATGTCCTTTCCGGGCTTCCTTTGAAGTGACATGTGCTTCAATTTATTTTTAATCTTCTAAGTGATGTCGTCAGGACTGTCGTCCCTGTGACTTGAAGTTGCGTTCTTGGGGGCTGTGGGGGTGCGGGATGATGCCCCCCTCACCCCCCACGCGGCACCCGCGGTCAGAACGCAGCCTCCTGCGAGGTGCCTGTGGGGTGGGGGTTGGGGGCGCCTCAAAGGGAGGATTGCACAGAGGAGGTAAATTCATCAAGAATTCGCTGTGCACACCTTGGAAATGCCACCTTTTGTGCTCAGCTTGGCGTCTCCTTGGGGAGCCCTTGGCAGCCCTCCATGGAGCCACAGTGCCCCCCAGTGGTCGCGCCCGGTACTCCCTGTCTCCGCTCCCCGTCCCGGGAGGCACAGAAAGCCAGCCCGCAGGAACTGCTTGCCCCAATATCACATCTTTAAATTGTTATCCACATGAAAGAAGGCCTGGTCCTGATTCAGAGCCACCTTGATGGGGAAATCTGAGAATGCCCATAAAAGGCAGTGAGCGCCGAACTGAGGAATGGTTTCTCTTGTTTTGTTTCGCTTTCTTCCCCCTGCCCCACCCCCACGCCAGAGAGCTATACTGGTGATGACATATTCCAGGGGAAACTAAAATTAAATACATTTACTTAATTGCTTAATTGATTCATGGACATATACCACAATCCCAATCCAACTCAAAAGATCTACACAACTTGAGGGGGGGGGGGGGAGTGCACCCTTTCCCAGCAGGAAAAAGTGGCAGAGATACCATAGGACTTGGAATCAACACTACGTGTAAAAAAAAATCTTGCCCTAATGCGGACCGTGCGTGGTTGATGACTTTGGACTTGATGCTTTACTCTGGGGGTTTCGGTGTTCCCGTCTGTGAAATAAAATGCGTGGAGAAAGCAGCTATAAATGATGGAATCAGTGGGAATGAGAGTTACCACGATGAAGCTTGCCCGCCTTCCCAGCGCCATCCTCATGCTCTGCTTCTGGAAGGTTGGCCCTTGTCCCCTTCACAGAGCTGGAAGCCTGACGTGGGTACTGGCTTCTGGTCCCAAGTCCTCTTCCAAGCCTGCCTCCCTCGTGTCCATGACCCCCAGTCATGCTCTGGTCACCCACGTCCCACGGTTGGGTCTCCTTTGTATTTCCCTTGTTAGCATCCCCTACCTCCTTAGCCTCATGGTGGAGGCTCAAAAATCCTTATTGGTGAATAGGTTAGTTCTCAAGTCAGAAATGCTTGAATCTTATTTTTTATTTTTATTCATTTATTTTGAGAGAGGAGAGAAAGAGCATGTGTGTAGAGGAGGGGCAGAGACAGAGGGAGAGAGAATCCCAAGCAGGCTCAGCATTCTCAGCTTAGATTCGGAGGCAGGTCACCATCTCACAAACCGTGGGATCATGACCTGAGCCGAAATTAAGACTTGGGCACCCAACTGACTGAGCCCCCCAGGTGCCCCCAGAAATGCCTGAATCTTGGGGCAAAAGGTATAGAGGCAAAATCTTTGCATCCATACTTGAACTTCATCTCTGGCCTTATCTCTCCAAATCAACGTGAGCAATCACAATGTCTGTGAATTTTTCCCCCTCATCTATAAAGAAGAGATTGTGCTGGAAGGAAAAATTTATAGTATCTTTTTTTTTCCAAGAAGTTTCCAACTAATTGCTTACTGGAACCTTTAAAATTCTCCCCTAAGTGAGTTATTTCAGAAAAGGTTATTTAGTGAGCACTGGAAATCACTAGACTAACCCATGTGAAATTGCTATTTTATGGCCTAAAAATCATCGATTATGAGTAATTGCATAAGATATAACCTAAAATATCTTTTCTCAGAGAATGTGGTTGTACTAATTGAGTGTACACTCTGTCGGGCATCTTAGTACTGAAGCAGATGAGAGAAAGGTATTGCTCTAGTCTCTGTGCTCTTGGATTATCAGGACCTACGAGGACTGAAAACCATAATCCAACAGTAAGTGATCATCATCCTACCATCGTGTTGTACAGAATTTTCCAGAGTTGAGAGAGACCACACATGTGTGAATCAGTAGTTCGCTATAATAATAACTTGTCCAATAATAGCTACTGTTTTTTGGGTACCAACAATATGCCAGGCACACATAACATGAATTTAATTTTAGATGAATTGAGGGCACCTGTGTGGCTCAGTCAGTTAGGTGTCCATCTTTGGCTCAGGTTCGGATCTCACAGTCCGGGAACTCAAGCCCTGCATCAGGCTCTGTGCTGACAGCTCGGAGCCTGGAGCCTGCTTCCAATTCTGTGTCTCCCTCTCTCTTGCCCCTCCCCTGCTCATGCTCTGTCCTCTCTCTCAAAAATTAATATACATTAAAAGAAATTTTAGTGAATTTAGACTAAATATAAAAGTAATAGGGAATGTTTTATTGACAAATGCTGGAGGTCAGAATTTGAGGTGGTGTAAATATTATTTTCTCCTCCAGAGAAATAATATTCTCTGGAATGGTTTGGGGAAAGCACACCTAGCTGTCATAATCATTAAAGGTGTCTGTGTATTCTAAAGTTGGGTTCATTAGAGGTGAGATCGTCTGATGTCCTGAAGGGTTTTTCCCTCTTCCCTGGTGTGGCAATTTCTCAATCAGCCTTGGCCCTTGTCAGGGTAGTAGAGTGACTCTCATTTCGGGTCTGGAATAGCATTGTCCAATTTCATTTTCTCTGATCACCTTCTCATTTGCTGAAACAATTTGAGAAAATACAGAATACCTGTGCGTGTTTATGTATTCATTCATTATATACACACAACCGCTGAAGATGCGTACATTATAGAACAAAGGCAAAAATTAACACTTTGAAGGATGAGATAAGAGAAATAAATGTTTAAAAGTAATTTTAATTTAGAAACAAAATCTGTGCTATCATAAGAAATATGTTAATAATTATATTTTAGTGAAAGAAATATGAAATATTTGTTATTTTTTGTGTTTGGTGTGACACTTCGTGATATGATAAGGTTCCAAGTTTCAGCTTATTTTTGATATTAAATCATTGTCATAGTTGAAAGCATGGTAGGTCCAAACTGAAGTGAATCATTAGTTGCACTTTCTGACTTTGGGTACCGTGTTTCAATTCCATTCAGCAATCATATAGAGATGTTTACATTTGACAACCCTTTCAAGTACTCAGCAATCTGATAAACAGCAAACGCGTCTTTCCTACAGAAGATTTTCATATTTATTTCTCATGTCTTTAAAAAGTATTGCAGGGACGCCTGGGTGGCTCAGTCAGTTAAGCATCTGACTTCGGGTCAGGTCATGATCTCATGGTTCGTGGGCTCGAACCCCACATCGGGTTCTGTGCTGACAGCTCAGAGCCTGGAGCCTGTCTTTGGATTCTGTGTCTCCCTCTCTCTCTGACCCTCCCCTGTTCATGCTGTGTCTCTCTCTCTTTTTCTCTCTCAAAAATAGGTATAACATTTAATAAATGAATGAATGAATGAATGAAAAGTATTGCAACATGGTAAAGGCCACCTTCCTGAGAATAACGCTGTGAATGAATGTATGTGTCAGAACCCTAGTTTGTACTGTTGTTGATAATTGGGCAGAATATCACTCTTCACCCTTACGTATTCTTTTTACAAAATGTTGCTTTGTTAACTGAATAGTTTGCTGTTCAGAAGAGAGCTCTACCACATCTGTCTTCAGTAGATCTGTAAAGAAGTTGTCCTTGGTGTGTTCCATTATTGAAACTGCATTCAGCAAATACCATTAGGTTGAACGTGTTAGAAACATCTGTACTTTTACCCAACAGTAGAGCTGACCTCCAAGACTGAGTGATTTATTCACTACTGGTGTCTCCCCATCTTCCATGATACCCGCGTGCATCTTCCAAAAGTGTTTGAGGACAGAGAGTAACACTGTGTATATGCTACGTTGTTTCCTCTGTTTTTTTTATCCATTTTTACCAAAGTAGGATGGAAACTATTTGACTAATTGGTGTGGCTTTTTGTCCTTGGTTTTTGTTTTTTTGTTTTTTTAATAAGAAAATTCAAAAGAGGCTTCAACAGCACTATTGCTGAGTTTAGAGGAATTTTGCAAGGTATGAGATTACACAGCATATAACTTCAGTGCCAGAGGCTGGCTCCAGCAGGCCCAGGGGTCCCTGAAGGATGGACGCTGTCGGCGAGAGAGAGAGTGAGAGAGCCCCGAGAATCTTTCTGATCACCAGGCAGGCATCTCTGCACTGTCGGTTTTGGTGTCTTTATTTATAGGTCAAATGTTAACATGGCATCAGAAAAAGGAATTTTTACAATGGATAACTCTTTGTGATAAGATGTTTTTGGAAAATGTACAGAAACAGGTTTCACAGAAGTATTTTTGCAGAACTGCCCCAATTATAGTGAGGTTGACTAAGAAAATAAGAGGGTGTTCACATTTTAATAACACTAAGATTAAGTCATAGGATTATAGATACCCTTATCCATCCTCATCACAGCTGCCAGGGTAAGGGAAGGTGTTTGTGGAATGTAGGCCTTAGGGAAGGGGTTGCTACACGTCATCACTTAGCAAAGGTATATGTGGTAACTTATGTTCTGCCCTTATCTGTTCCTTCTTCTAAGTTAGGCTCTTTGTCTCTGGGCAAGACTTGAGTTTCCAGCTCTATCCTTTATGGCACCGGAGAGCCAACCATACCTTTAAAGAATTTAGCTCATTTCCAATACATAGAATAGCCTCTTCGGGTACATTTACCTTTGTGTCTAGTTTTATGATTTCCTGAATAGCTAGGGCATGAGAGACATTTCTGGTTAGCTGATTTACATGTTGAGCTATATGAACATCTTGGACTAATGCAACCATGGAAATAGAATTGTACATGTAAAGGTCAATCTTATATGAGTAAGGGTCATTAGCCTGTTCATAGCTCAAGGGAAAGTATGGAAGGAAACAGGACCTGCTGGAGACACGATGTCTGTTCCCATAATCAAAGAAAGAAGTTCCCACAATAAGTTCTGTCACAAGGTGCAATCATCAGACCAGGGCCAGAATAAGGGGACAAGTCACTCCTGATATTGATCAACAAGGTACCTTAGGGGTCAGTGCTCAAGCAGAAATAATTGAGTGAGGGTGGATATAGGTCATCATTTGATTGGCAAGAGATCATGCAAACTTGCTTTAACCTCACCAGGAGTTTTCTCAACTAGTGGGCTCAGAATGGCTCCCAACATCTCCCCCTTTCTTATTTTTTGAAAGAAGGGTGTGTAGCTCAACGTTTACCCTGTGAAAGCTTCGATTAGTTATTTTAAAGAAATAGGGAACAAGGCACAAAATGAGCACCAACACTCCAGCCACCATGCCAACATTTGTCAGGAGTGAATTTAGTCCCTGAGCACTAAAGAAATTTTGTAGTCCTTGTAGAAATAAGGTTGCAACTTCTGAAGGAGAGACAAAGGTAGAGAATGCATTACTAGCTTGAATCTGTTCATGAAGGGTTTGGACATCAATGCTAAAATTAGAATGATTCCAAATACCAAGTAGGTGATTGTGGATATTCTCCCAAGTGTGTGTGGTATCATTATGTTGGAGAGGAGTAACACAGATCCAATTATACTCCTTGTGACATCGAAGGGCTAAAAGAGATTTTAGAAAACTTAATTCATTTCCAGTAAACAGTACTGCCTCTTCTAAGGCATTAACCTTAGTGTCCAATTTCCTGTCAATTATTTCTTGAGTGGCCAATGCAAAAGAGACATTTCTAGTTAATTGGTCAGTGTGTTGGGCTGTATGTACCTCCTGGACAAGGGAGACAGTGGAAGCAGCCACAGACCCTATGATGGTGATCAGTGCAGTAATGCCCAATATTAGAGCTCCAATGAATCGCCTTGGGCATGAGAGCAGAATTAACCTCCTGGACAACTTGTAACTCATAATCATCCTACCAAGGAAGCGTTAGTTTAACAGAATCTTCCATGAGCCCTATTCTTACAAATGGGGCCTAGATTAGAGGCAATTAATACCAACAGAACATAAGAGGAAGGTAAATGTAAACAGGAACTTTTCTCTGTTTCCCCAGCTTTCTGGGCAAGGAGTAAGGAGAGTTTATCTTATCAGACAGGTGATTCCTCAAGCTTCTGCAGTGCGTAGACCAGCCAGCTTCCTGGGTGTGGATGGAGCAGGGCTGGAGATCTCAGGGGCCAGTGTCCTTTTGAAGATCAGTTTAAGCTGGTTGACTGGATCTGGATCACCTCACCAGGTTGAGGTCTCTTCTGAGTTGGCCTACTTAACTCCAGAGTGATGGGTCCATAGGGTGATGCCTGAAACTTTAAGAGCTGAATCCTTTGGTTATATATCTGTGAAGTACACCTCTATGTTTTTGAAAGGGGTGACCCTCATCCTTTTAATAATTATTCAAAGATCTGATTAAGTTGAAACCTATAACTTTTGGTTTTCTTGGCAGACAAAAGAGAAAACCTTTGTTTACATTATCTTATCAAGAGCAGGTTAACAATCCAAGAAAACCTTGTCTTTTGAACAGAGAGAAGAGCAGAGTTTTAACCTTATACCAGTGTACTTTTAAAATTCCATTCATCTCAACCTTAGTCTATCCTGAGCCCAGAAAAAATTCCTTTTTAAAGATTTCCCTTCATGAACCTTCTACAATTTTTCTTTGTGTTTAAACTTTGTCCCAAAGCCATTTCTCTCTAAATAATCAGTCTCATTTAGGACAAAATAACTTTCTTACATATCTCTCATTTTCCTGTATACAGGGTTGCTTTCCTTATTTCCCATCAGTCTTAAGTACACTTAGCAGAACTTTAACTCTTAGGAAACCTTAGTCTCCAATTGAGGACTTAGTAACCAACTGAGAGTTGTTTATGCAAGAATTGTCTAGATGGTAAATTCAGGAACAAAGTAAGCACAAACCATGTTTTCCAATGGGTCCAAATAGCCTTACTCTCTCTGCAATAGGAAGTTAAAAACACAAACCTATGTTCAGTAATCAAGACCTAGATTTCTGAGGAAGTGCATGTTGCTCCTTGGCCTTGAGGGTGGGAGGAGGAGCCAATGTGCCCGAGGCACTGAGGATGGCATAGGAACCAGTTATGTAGACCACACCCAAGTTGGTGCAGAAACAGGACGGGAAGAGAAGGCAGAAGAGGCAAGGTGGCAGCAGGAGGCAGAGAAAGAGAATTTCCAGTTTTAAATTTTGTCAGCTCAGACAGAGGAACAGAATTCAGGTTTCTTTTTTTGTTTGTTTGTTTTTGTTTTTGTTAGGCAGTCCATGTCAGTCTGGAGAAGACAAGGAATTTCCCCCAAAACAAAAGGAGCTTCTGCAGCTTCTTGGGAATATTCCTTCAAGTCCCCATCCCGAGGTAGAGTGACCACAGTTGGCTCCAATTATAGCCGTTAACTTGGGAAATGAATGAGTGAGAAGCCCTCACATCTACTAGGCAGAGGAACAGAGAGAGTTAACGTCCTCTTCAGTCTGATTTTATCTCAGTTAGACCAATAAGGTCCCCTTCTCGAGGTTTCTCCCGATCCAATTCAGACGCTCATTCTTTCAGTGTCCCTGTTTAATCTGGGAATCTGGCTACAACATGCCAGATGCGGCAGATGGCTGAGGCCACCCTACATCAAAAGTGAGTCATTTTAATTTACATAATTTTATAGTTTTCCAAAAATTCCTTCTTTGTACAGTCCCAATCCCGTAATGCTCCCAAAGAGGTGGGGGTGCCCTCTCTAATGAGGAGACCAGTCAGATGCCAGTCTGGCTGTGTCCCGAAGGAACTTAGGTGACGCTTAGCCATAGAGGTCCCAGCTTTGTGACTCACAATCGGAAACTATTCTGATGCCACCATAGACTGTGTGCCGTTCACCACGGAATCACAGACAGACCCGCTCACACTCCATAGACTTTTTGGGACCTTAAGGGTGCCCACCCGTGGAGCCACAGAATCGAACCTGGCAGGCAAGCCAGACCGAGTCTCACATCCACACTAGAGGTGATCACACTCCCTCCCACAGAATCCCTACAGAGGAGACTGAAAACATCGACAATGGCAACAGGACAGAACAGGTACGGAAGTGGCCACACAACATGTTTACAGGCTGCAGAAGTGGCTGCACCGACGTGACGTCTCGGTGCCCCGGGGGCGGGAAGTTGCTGCGTCCAGCCTCCCACTTAATCCCCCCGGACAGAAGCACACGTGCATTCAGAATTCCGATGGTAGATTGACTTACCTCCGGAGGTTTAGAAAGGTGACTCCCACAGATTAACTGGGGCTGTTTTCGGGGTGGCAGGAAAGATAAGAGTGTTTCCCCGGGTCCTAGAGCATCTTCAGGAGCCGGGGAGGGTGCAGGGGAAGGAGACAGGAATTTGGAGGTCTGGGGTCTCCATAATCTCTCTGAGACCTCCAAAATATTATGCTGAGAGACACAGAGACCAGCCGAGACCACTGAAGCCGAATTAAGGGAGTCTATTATTGGCCTGGACCGCACAGAGTTAACACAGAACGCTAAGTGTGCGGCCCGTAATCTACTTGTATTAAAGGTTGTCATGAGCCTGCCTAACCAGTTTAAGGGCCAGGTCAACAAACTTCACAATTATCTGATATCCACCAGGACAGCTACAAGGCTTGGGAGTCCTGGTTGTAAGGAACCCATGCTTTCCATAGTAGCATTTATTGCTCTCAGATCTTGCAACAATCTCCATTTACCTGATTTTTTCCTAATAACAAAAATGGAAGTATTCCATGGACTACTGGAAGGCTCGATATGTCCTTCCTTAAGCTGTTGTTCTAGAAGTTGTCTTGCTGCTGCTGCTGCTGCTGCTTTTTCAGAAGTTAAGGGCCACTGTTCTACCCAAACAGGAGTGCCTGACTTCCAGATTATTGGGTCAGCAGCAAAGGGAACAATGGCCCCTTCTACAAATGTCGCTGGCCAATCCCTTTTTTGTCCAATTTGGGCTTTATATTTATGGAAGTTATTATACCCTGTTGTGTCTGGTCCAACCTTTTGTTGGGATGAAGCCGCATTTGTAACATCTGATTAGTGATCTTGCCATCTGGGGTGTAAAGTAACATTCCCGTTTGGGATAAAATGTCTCGTCCCCATAAAGAAAAAGGGATGGAAGGGATAACATAAGGACAAAAACTTCCTGAATTGTTTTCATCATCTGACCGTTTTAGGATTTGAGAGCTTTTTGCCACGTTAGAAGCCTGTCCTATACCCACAAGAGTAGCAGGAGCTTTCTGAGTTGGCCAAGCTGAAGGCCAATCTTCTCCTGCCATGCAGGAGACATCTGCTCTGGTGTCTAGAAGTCCTTGAATAGGAATTCCCTGAACCTTCAATACTTTCATGGGCCTAGAGGCTTTAGTCTCCTGCATCCAAAAGGCCTTCTCGCTAGAGCCAAAGCCTCCTTCTCCTCTGGGGGCATCAGTGGCATCCTTTCCCATGTGATACTAAGGCAATAATAGTAACTGGGCAATTCTCTGATCCTTAAAAATTTGCTTGGTGGAAGAAGGAGGAGAGACCAGCACCTTGATCTCTCCCTGATAATCAGCATCAACCACCCCGGGGATTATATGGATCCCCTGAAGGGAGATGGAGCTCCATCCCAGTATTAATCCCACTACCCCAGGGGGCAGGGGCCCCTTTACACCGGTGGGAATAGTTACAGGAGGTGACTCAAGGGTTAGTATTGTGCTGGTGGTGGAACGGAGGTCCAGTCCTGCGCTGCCTGGGGTTGCTCTGTAGAGCTCGGAGACTGATTGGAATTGGCGAACGGACTGAGAGAGCTAAGGGATGTTGCCCCAATTAGTGTCGGGGCCTGGGGTTGGCCCCTCAATCCATTTCCCTGGTCCTGAGATTTTTGGAGATTGGTTCCCAGTGGTTGGCCATTTTTTGTGAAATTTAGATTTACAATTTTTTGGCCCAGTGAAAGCCCTTTTGACACCTAGGGCACATAGTCCTGGGCATGTTGTTATTATTTATCACCTGAGGAACAGGTGCGGTTGGCAGAGAGGTAATGGCCTTTTTTGTAGGGCAGTCCCTACTGGAATGTCCCACTTGCCCACAAGAATAGCAATTAAACCTTGCGGAAGGTTTTTCGCTCTTAGTACCTCCTGACTGCCCTAAAGACCTGACATATTGAAAGTATGTTTCTCCCTTTAAAGCTGCTGTGATAGCCATGCCCTGGATAAAGGCAGGACTTATGTCTGTGCATTGTTTGACATAATCAGTTAAGTGCCAGTTTTTCTTATGGGTCGTAATAAAGATTGGCAGGTAGAAGAGGCATTTTCAATGCTAGTTGTTTAATGAAAATGTCCCCTGCCTCATCATTAGTTATCACTCTTCTAACAGCTTGTATGAGTCTAGACACAAAATCCTCATAGCTTTCATCTGATTGTGGTCGGATTTCTCCCAAGGTAGCAGCCCTGCCTGTTGCAATTGGCAAAGTTCTGCATGCGTTATAGGCACAATCAGTGACCTGCACAATCTGATTGTAAGTGACCTTACAATCAGAGTAAGGTGACCTTGTCAAGATACATTGGAGCTTGAGCAGTGTCAAAATCACCTCACCTAGGAGTTTATCGAGGGTAATGTCTCTCCTATTCATCCTTTTATTTATTGCTACTCTTTTTCTAGCAAGGTCATCATATTCCGCTTTCCATAGCAGATTCTGGCCTCCTGACAGACAGCTTTTGCAACCTGCATCCAGTCATAAGGTGTCATCCAGCGGGATATGAGAGCCTTTAGCAATGGAAGTGTGTAGGGAGCGAGTGGCCCATATTTGGTACAGGCAAGTTTTAGTTCCTTAACAATCTTACAGGGAAGAGGTTCCCAAGGAGGGTCCTCATCAAATTCTTCCCCAAGAGCAATGGGGAAGCAGTGAACAAAATCTGTATCTCTCTCTTTTTCAGCCTCTCTAACGGTGGCTCTGAGCCCTATACCTTTTGAAGGTGGCATGGGAGGAAGCGGCCCAGATGGAGGGAAAGTCCCTGTAGTCTGAACAGGGAAAGCCCACTTGTTTGATGTTAAATTTGAAACCTTCATAGTGGTGGAGTTGGGGACAGTCCCCGAGTCTACTTTACTATCATTTGGGGAGGTGGTGGGCTTGAAGACTCCCAAAGTATCTTTTGAGGAGTCTAACTCCCCCTTTACGATGGTCAATAGAGAAATAATTTCAACCGGGATATTTTTTTGGTCCTTGTGAAATATAACATTGTCTAATTTTGTCCCCAAGTTGATTCCAGATATCTATGCTGACAGTTCCTTCCTCAAGGAACCAGGGACACAGTTTTTGAACAAAACGTAGAAATCAAGCAATTTTTTGAGGGGACACCTTTACCCCTTTTTTTGTAAGCATGTTCCATATAACATCTATAAAGAGTCTCCTTTCCTTAGACACTTTATGGCCCATAACTTCTCAAAAAACAGTTCTTTGCTTATCCACCAGCTAACCCTACTTATCTTATACATGGGGGTCCATGGTACCCTATGGTGGAATACTAACCGTTCCGACTAATGCAATGAAAACAACATAGTTTAAAGAGATTACCTTCAGGTCCGATGTTTGGGCGCCACTTGCCGGAGGCCGGATCCAGCAGGTCTAGGGGTCCCTGAAGGATGGACAGTGTCGGCGAGAGAGAGAGTGAGAGAGCCCCGAGAATCTTATTCATCACCAGGCAAGCATCTCCGTCCTGTCGGTTTTGGTGTCTTTATTTATAGGTCAAATGTTAACATGGCATCAGAAAAAGGAATTTTTACAATGGATAACTCTTTGTGATAAGATGTTTTTGGAAAATGTACAGAAACAGGTTTCACAGAAGTATTTTTGCAGAACTGCCCCAATTACAGTGAGGTTGAGTAACTAAGAAAATAACAGGGTGTCCACATTTTAATAACACTAAGATTAAGTCATAGGATTATAGATACTCTTATCCACACTCATCACAGCTGCCAGGGTAAGGGAAGGTGTTTGTGGAATGTAGGCCTTAGGGAAGGGGTTGCTACACGTCATCAGTTAGTAAAGGAATATATAGTAACTTATGTTCTCCCCTTATCTGTTCCTTCTCTCTAAGTTAGGCTCTTTGTCTCTGGGCAAGACTTGAGTTTCCAGTTCTATTCTTTATGGCTCCTGAGAGCCAACCATACCTTTAAAGAATTTAGCTCATTTCCAATACATAGAATAGCCTCTTCGGGTACATTTACCTTTGTGTCTAGTTTTATGATTTCCTGAATAGCTAGGGCATGAGAGACATTTTTGGTTAGCTGATTTACATGTTGAGCTATATGAACATCTTGGACTAATGCAACCATGGAAATAGAATTGTACATGTAAAGGTCAATCTTATATGAGTAAGGGTCATTAGCCTGTTCATAGCTCAAGGGAAAGTATGGAAGGAAACAGGACCTGCTGGAGACACGATGTCTGTTCCCATAATCAAAGGAAGAAGTTCCTACAATAAGTTCTGTCACAAGGTGCAATCATCAGACCAGGGCCAGAATAGGAAGACAAGTCACTCCTGATACTGATCAACAAGATGCCTTAGGGGTCGGTGCTCAGGCAGAAATAATTGAGTGAGGGTGGATATTGGTCATCATTTGATTGGCAAGAGATCATGCAAACTTGCTTTAACCTCACCAGGAGTTTTCTCAACTAGTGGGCTCAGAATGGCTCCCAACACTTCAAGCCTTCCCAAAAGAGATAAATGCCTGTCTCCATATTTTGATTTAGTTTTCAATGTCTCGCTAATTATAATAGATCTCTACTTGCATTCATTTATACCCCAAGGTGTTGACTCTCTGCACACAGAAAGTGAGAGTCACAGTTAACAAGAACTGATGTAAATCTCCATTTATAATAATTTTTCCTAATTTTGAAGTCAGAGTACGTTATTGTCAGATTTTGTCAGGCTGTCGTCATTTTCATCCAGTTGTGATGGATGAAGACCTTGCCTTGAGAACAGGACATATGGCCGCTGTGTTTTCTCCTCTTTGCTCACTGCACTTGCGATATCAGCGTCAACCTCAATCCGTGGTTTTTGCAGAGATACTTTGAAGGCGTTTATCCACTTCAGAGGGCCAGCAAAGTCAAACTAGGTGAAAGAGTCTACAAATGCACTCGACCCGGGACAAGTAGCCTGCAGTCACTCGTGGTACGGGAAATGTGCAAGGCCACAGGCACGGCCACGGACCCTCGCCCCAGGGACATTCCCCTCTGCCTCGGGAAGACTGTCTGACGCCCACTGGAGTGGGAGCCCCACGGCCCCGTGCATGTTGGAGCAGTCAGCTCTGCTCCGACACTGGTTGTGACACACAATTTGTGTCAGTGTGATTCATGTATGCAGGATCAGTCTGAGAATTGTGTAACTGCTGTGTCTGCAGATGAATGATTCCACTCACAGACATACAAGGTCAACATGAAAGATTGCACCCCGCCGATCCCAGCCTGGGAACACACACACACACACACACACACCCCTCCCCACCTCCCAGTGAGTGTTATGAGCCACACCCATCACACCTGGAGTCAGACCTCGCCCTCACACTCCACATCTGCCCCCTTCCTCAACTCCCCTCTGCTCACAGGCTGACCTTCCTTTGTCCAGTCCTCAGACAAACCTTGGGCCTTTCTCGGTGTTAACTGAGATATGAGACTACTGTATTTACTGTAGGATTGGTGCAGTCTCAATTGTGCGTGAGACCACAGGGCAGCTTTCATGAGGTTCTTTCATCAGTTATCAGCACTGTCACTGATAAGGGTTCCCAGTGCTGTGCCCCTGGCTCCGTGTTCCCCTTCATCGATTAACTGTCCAATCTTGCATAGTTTGCCGCGTTTTAGGAGTCCTTGCGTCCTGTTGTAGCAAAACTGACCTCCACTTAACTTGCTCTTTCCTGTCTCTTCCACCACCTGCAGCCAAAAGCCTCCCTAACTGACTCACGCGCCTACATGGAAGGAGAGGAACTAGAAAGCCCACTGGAGAGAGTGGCATCCAAGCTAAAAGCGCACGCTGTGTAGGAAGAGGACCCCAGGCCAAGGGAACAGGAAATCCTCTAACGCTATATGGGGACTTTCTGTCGTGAGAAAGAGTCTCACTGCCCCAGTCACAGGAGGGACACGGAGACGTGGAGCAGTGAAGTGAGGATTTAATCAAGGTACTTGCACGAGCATTTGTCTGGCCCACAGGCGGTACAGCAGACAATTTATCTCCTAGCCCGCAAGTCCCTCCCCTGGCTCCTCACTGGCTGGGGACTACAGAGGTCACAGCCTCACCCAGATGTCGCCTATGCCCATGAAAGGCAAAAAAAGTGGTCTGACTGGAACAAATGTACATTCCCTGAGCTGAGCAGAGACGTTAAGTCCCTCCTTTGTTCTTCGGCCATCCTCATTGCAAAGGAGGAGGGAGCAGGGAGGAACCAGGAAGCGAAGGGTCTGAGGATTTGGGACTCCGCTGTAGGGGGGCGGGGGGGAGGGTCCGTATTTCCAATACCTCGTAAGCCTGCTGTTAACCAGACAGCGCAGCTTTTATCTGGCATTTCGTCTCCTTACCGCTCACGCTGTGCCTAATCCCAGGTTGCTCCTCATGCACATCTGACGATGAGCTGGACCTCCGTTTGGGCCCCGGGTTGTCCAGGGCTTCCTGGAGGCCGTGCGGACAGCACCGCCCACTGCCGCCCTGCGCGCCTGGCTTGCTGGTCGTCACCTCAGTGTCCGGGTCCCGACCCTGGCCCACCAGACGTCCCCGCAGAAGTCCTGCGCCCCACTCCTTACAGAGACGGGCTGTGGAAGACCACAGAGCTGTCCCCGCCCCCCCCCCCCGGGGGGAGAACGAGATGAGCGGGCTGCACGGACACCAGAGCCTTGGGTCCACCCAGCCGGTGTCCGGCGCTGCGACCAACGGTGGCCCCGCAGAGCACGCGTTCCCCAGGGCTCACGAAGGGGGCAGCGCGGGGGCGCGTTCCCTCTTCCCGCTGCGGCCGCCGGGCGGCGCTGCGGGGCGCGTCCCTCGGAACCGCTCCCACAGCGCCGGGCGCAGCCGCTCCGGACCCGCGGTGGCGGCGGAAGCGGGCTGGCGGCGCCGCGCACGGGACAGCAGCAGCGGCTGCGCAGTCCGAGCAGTCACGGGGCCTTCGTACTTTGTTTCCTCTTCCATAACCCGGGATAAATGCCTCTCGCGTTGCTGCAGAAATTAATCAGGATAAGATATGGCCCAAGGGCATGGCCATAAAAGGCCCTCAATCCTTATGAGCTCCCTTCCTGTGTCCTGTGTGTGTGGTATGGGTGTATGATTGTGTGTGTGTGTGTGTGTGTGTGCGCGCGCGCGCTTTCGGGTGTGTGGGGGATGTGGTGTGACCTGTGTGTGGTGTGACATGGTGTGAGGGGTATGTGTTTGGTGTGACGTGTGTGGTACGGGGGGTGTGTGTGTGTGTGTGTACATGATGTGTGCTGAGTGTGTTTTCAGAGGTGAGAATCCCGGGCTGATGGAGAAGCGACATGAGAAGGAAGCACAGGCTGGAGAGGGCAGGTCACCTGTCCGAGGGCCCCCCTGCTGTGGCAGCACAGAGGGCTGTGAAGGGCACAGCCTGATGTGGACTCCGCTCCTACACGCAGCCCTGGACCCCGGTGAAGCGAGTGGAACCCTGGGGGTCCTCACTGCCCGAGGCGCTGGGCACGGGGGGCTGCCCTGAGCTCGGCCTCAGGGGGTCGGGGGTGGGGGGGGAATGGGGGGCTGCCCTGAGCTCGGCCTCAGGGGGTCGGGGGTGGGGGGAATGGGGGGCTGCCCTGAGCTCGGCCTCAGCGGGTTTGGGGTGGGGGGGAATAGGGGGCTGCCCTGAGCTCGGCCTCAGGGGGTTGGGGGTTGGGGGGGAATGGGGGCTGCCCTGAGCTCGGCCTCACAGGATGAGGGGGCAGGGGGAAGAGGCAGGTTCCGGGCAACTTGACCCCCTGCACCTGAGGTCAGTTCCGGAAAGTTCCCGCAAAGCTGGCCTGTGTCTTCCCAGACGTCCTGAGGCCGTGGCCCCTGTGTTCGCCGTGGGACCCCTCGGTCCGCCCGTCTTACACCTTGGCCTCAAAACCCCCGGGCGTGGAAGGAGGGCCGTCCGCTCCTGGCCCACGCGTGCACGCACATACACACGCACACACGTGCACGCACACCCTGCACTTCCGGCTCAGAGCCCTGGCCCAGCGCTGCCCTGGGCGGGGACAGCTGTCCCTTCCCGCCACTTGTCGTCTTGCACGTGTCCCCTGCGAAGTCGCCTCTCCCACGGGCGCCAGGGACCGGCCCGGGGCCCCGCCCAGCTGCAGCCGCAAAGGGACCACCGTCCTGACCCCCGGCCGGGTCGGTGCTAACCCGGGCGCACGGCTGGTGCGCACGGCTCTGCGCTGCCCGCGGGTCCCATCCGACAGGGCGCCTGGGCGGGCAGCCCGCCGTCCCTCTCCCGGGCGTGACCGCCTGTGACCGCCCGAGGCCGAGCCTCTCCTCGCGCCTCCCTCCGGGCCACGGTCAGCACCGCGTCCGGGACTGGGGCCAGGGAAGGTTCTCGAAGCGTGGCTCCCTTGCACGGACCCTGCCTGCTCCGCGGCTGCCCGGGGAAGGCGGGCGTGGCCGCTGACCTGCCGGCGGGTGTGTGCGGCTCGGAGCCGCGTCCCTGCCGTGGGCACCTGCCCGGAACCCACCCGAGACGGGCGTCCCCGGGGCCTTCCGGAGAACCGTGGGCAGCGGCCCGCTCACCTGCTGGGCGCCGGCGTTTGGCGGGAACGTTTTAATGAAGGTCCAGCTTCCCGTGTGCGCTGACTGCGCCAGCCCCATGAGGGTGTAGTTCGCGTAGCAGAAGGACGCCCCAGGGGGGTAAGCAGTTCTCGAGCAGCACTCGGGAGCCGGCAGCTTCTGGAACCGGAGTCCCACCGGAAGTCCCTCCGCACGAGGCGAGGGTTTCCGCGGGCACCTCCCTCCCCCCGCCTTCCCGCCCCCACGGGGCCCGCCGCCAACCCGCGGGGTCCGAGGACCGTCGGGGGAAGGGCGCCCTCGCGCCGGCTCAGAAGGCGCGGCCAAGCAGAGGTGGGGGCCGCGCTCGACGCGCCTGGCGAGCGGACGCGCGTGTTCACAAGCAGCGGGAAGGTGCTTTGCGACTTGTCCCGGACCTAACGACGGTGGGAGGTCACTCCGGTGCGGACCGGATTGTCCGGTTTTGTATTTGGAGGAGGGGACAGCCCTGTCGTCACTCCTCAGACGTACAGAGGGAGACGCTAGGGACAGGAGGACCGGAAAGCTCGACGGGCCCCGGCGGGAGGGAGGGCCGCACGCCGGCTGAGGGGTGATCTCCCCGTGGGCCCTAGGGCGCAGCCTCCCGTTCTGCCCTTGCTTCGACTCCGCGCGGTAGAGTTGTTTCCGGGTTTACGTAGCGAGACAGGGAACTCGAATCACGTGTGCGGAGTCACACACGTAGAGCGGCAGGCCCCCCGCCCCCCCCCCCGCGAAGGCCGCGCCCCCCGTTCCGTGTGCCCCTGCGGCTCCCCAGGTGTCTGCCCGAGGGGTCGCCCACTCCCTGCGGACAGCGGTGGACAGGAGGAGGAAGAAGGCCTTTCCCCGGGGCTCTTGTGCGGATGTGACCCGCGGAGACGGGCGAGAATGAGCCGGTAGACAGAGGAGGGGAAGCCCACAGGCTAAACTCAACCGTGTCAGAGGAACCAACGGACAGGGCGGCGTAAACCTCGAAAGGAGCACAACACCTTCTGAGAAGGAACGGCGGCCCCGCCCAGCCTGTCTCCACACCGGCGTGTGCATCCCCCGTCCGCACCCCCCGCGCCGGAACCCTGTATCTCGGGCCGCCTTCCGGGCTGCCGTGGCTCCGCGCATCGCGTGTCATTCTCCTCCTCCAGGTCAAGGGTGGCTTGTTCTTTGGAATAGAGGTGTTTAGGGGCGCCTGGGTGGCTTAGTCGGTTGAGCGTCCGACTTTCGCTCGGGTCATGATCTCGCGGTTCGTGGGTTCGGGCCTCGCGTCGGGCTCTGTGCTGACTGCCAGCTCAGAGCCTGGAGCCTGTTTCAGAGTCTGTATCTCCCTCTCTCCGACCCTCCCCTGCTCACGCTGTCTCTCTCTCTCTCCTAGAAATAAATAAAACATAAAAAAAAATTAAAAAAAAGAAAAAGGAATAGAGGTGTTTATACGACTTTAAAAATCTGGTGAGGACCAGAGACAGTCTCTGCCAAACAGAATGTACCCAGTCGTCATCAACTTCTGTGGCGATTCCCGTGTGGCAGCCTATTAGCTCAGCTAATCATGTCAACAGCACCGTGACAGGAGTCGTATCCACCTTCCAATTCTAAGGATGAGGAACCTGATTCTGGGGACAAAGTCACCCATCCAGATGGCATGCCTACTGGGCGCAGACGCAGGAGGATCCCATGTTTCCCAGCCTCCCGCTCTGAGCTCCTAACCAGGCCGTGCCACCCTGAGGTCGGCTTGGAGGTTCAAGGGACCTGGGGATCCCAGGCTAAGAAATGTTGGTCCAGGTCATGTGACCTAAGGTGCTCCTCCTGGGATTCACGGGGGTTTGTGAGAATACTCATGCCTGTGAAAGTGCGTTGCAAGTTAAACCATTGCTGCTCTTGACGGCGGCGTGGCCTTCGTGTGGCTCCTTTGAGCCACGTGCTGCCAAATGAAGAGGTAGGTTCTCGCTCACCATCCTTACCCTGTTTGGCCTGTTTCGGCTCCGTCCTGACTCTGCCAGACTCCACCTGCAGCTCTAGCGGGCTCCGGCTCCTCTAGACAATGGCCCCAGTTCCATCCTCAGCAACGCTGTCCCCGCTCCCTCAGGACACTCCCAGTGGGCTCCCCTGGTGGCCTCAGGCCTACGGGGACACGCACATGTCCACTGCAGCGGAGCACAGAGCACAAACTCATCATTTAGTATTTGTTGGACACTCCTGTGTGGCAGAGAGAGAGGGTGCTTCCTAACCAGAGCAGCGTGTTGTGCTCGGGCTGGGGACGCCTGGCTCAAGGTTTCCGATCACCGGGAAGAATCTTGGTGAATGACCTATATCGAAAGTGATGGTGTGTTATTATGATTTGGGAATGTCGATCTCCACCAAACACACTTCACACCGAGAGGGTCCCTGGCGTCGTATTCGCATAGGCAGGACCCTGAAGGGCACGCTGATGCATTAAGAAGAGCTGGTAGACCCCGCCGTCGCCTCCACATCCCCACTAGCCACGGTCCCGGGAGGCGCCCTCTGAGAGCAGCATCCCACAGGAAAGTCTGCTCAGATTCCCTGGCAGGCAAACCAATCAAACCATCCCGCGCGTTAACTGGAGCCTAGAATTCCATGTTGAATTTCTGATGACATTAGCAAAGCACTCAGCCGTATCCCCATGGAATTACAACCCTATTATGTACAATTGAGTATACATTACTCCTTATTTTCATGTCATTAGCTTGGATAAGGCTATTTCTAAAGCACTGGAGTATGTTAAGAGTTACTTAGGGGAAGAAAAAGCTGAACCGGGAAAGCAAAATGCAAAATGTGACCAAGTAAAGCTGGTTTTTTTAGCGATATGTTTGCACATCAACTAGGGTAAATAAACAGAAATGATTGTTTTATTTCTTTTCACTGTTGTCTAGTCAACTTTGGTCTGAATCCACCTGTACATTTCAGTGTTCCTGTTGATGCTGGCAGTTTGTCTCTGCCCCTTCGATGCACATCTACAGACATCTTGCTACAAGTAAGAACAAGCCTGGCGCCTGATCGGGAAGCAGGCAGAGGCTTTAGCGATATGTGGAATGTTTTTTTTTTTTTTTAATGACAACAGTTGACAGTCACTAAGTTATGTTGACATGATTTTAAAAAACACCTTTGGAGCTGGCTAAACAGCTGAACCATGGTCATCAGGGCTTAGATTCTGGCTCTGCTGCCCATCATCTAGTCATTTCTTCTCTCTTGACCTTACTCTCCCCTGCAAAATGGGCTAAAACCATGC